AAACTTTCAGGTATTGAAAAGTGAATTACCTAATACCTACCTACCTATGCGTAAAAAAGATATCCCGGATTTCGATATCGGATAGCCAAGGTCAGGTCAATTTTGCAACCCTTCCATTACGAGTCAATGAGAGACAATTGAGATATGCTTCTTTAGGACGAAAGTCGTATTAAACACTCAAACATCAGGTACCGTTAAACATGACACATTGAATCGGAAAATGGTACCCACTGGCAGACATGTGCATGGATCCGATAAAATGGATCTGGGATCTGATCCCACGGATCCTGATCTCGAATCCAACGGGATCATAGATCAAGCTCAGTAATTTATCGAGAGATCCGTAGGGATCACAGATCCGAGTCTCATTTTTTGCTTGAGATCCAGTGAGATCATAGATCCTCACTTATTTTTTGTCAACACATATATAAAAAAAAACACTTGTTTCAACTCACAAACGTTCTGTTTTAGTGATTTTATGTGATCGCACGTCATAATCCATAGTTATGTGCCACTTATTGGCATAAAAACCCTTTAACACGCGCAGTGGAAAGGTTGCGAGTACTACGCCCAGTGGAAGGGGGGCGGATGTCGCCCCCCTAAGATCTCAGCTCCCACTGGAGCTAGAAAGACGAAATTTAGAGGGTAGGTGGGGGCCATGGGGAACTCTGTTGTGTGTGAATTTCATGACCCTAGGTCAATATCTTCAAGGTCAAATGAGGTCAAATGTGGTCAAATCTGCCATATGAGCGATTTTTTTTTTTGCGTTTACACGCCGATAACTCAAAAAAGTTACTGGTCGATTTTCTTTTTTCTCTCACTATTCGAAAGAAAAAACATTTGTGAGCATGTATGGTGAATTTCTAGATAATCCAACAATAAATATGGCAGTTAGAGGCCTGCTGAGGGTAAGATGTCGCCGGCTGAAGCGGGATCGGCCGACGCGGGAAACGCGGCAATCACAATTTTGTGTTTACACACTCATAACTCAAGTTGTTACCGGCCGATTTTCAAAATTCTTTGACCATATGATTGCCTGTACATTTCTCAGTCTTCTCACCGATTTTGACGCGAATCTAATGTAATCAGCGGTGAGGAGCGCGATGTAAAGACGGAACCGTCCCGCCCCGGCACAGTCTACAATTCAGGCGGCGCGTAACGGCTAGCGCCGGCCGCCGCCCGCCGCGGCGGCAGGATGTTTGACTTTACACCGCTATTACTAGAAAAGTTGTGAACCGATTTTCTTATTTCTTGCACGAGAAGTTCCGCAATTCAATTCTGGACAGGTAGCCGAAATTTCACATTAATATTATGTTTGTGGCGCGAGTTATTGGCGAAAAACAGGAGGGGTGGGCGAAATCCGCCCCCCCCCCTTCCACTTCGCGTGTTAACCCGCGCCCAGCTGGGGGTCCTGGATTTCCACGCCATGCTGGGGGGGGGGTGTTTGAACACCCCCCCCCTTGTAACTCGGCTCCTGGGCCACGTAGCGATACGCAGAAGGCGGCGTTCGAAAGAGCGTAAAAAAATAATGACGAAATCAGTTCGGTCAATTTTTTGGTCAGGTCAAAGGTCAGGTCACCAGAGGTCATTGAAGGCAAAATTTCGCCGATTTCCAGGTCGAATGTCGAAAATTTCCCAGAAGCCAATGCATAACTCGGGAACCAATAGAGCTACAGCGCCGCGGAAAAGTGCATTCGATAGCCCTATTATTGCCCTTTCTGAGTAATTATCTCAGATTTGACCTAACGTCAACGGTTTTGCCTGCAGGGGGCAAAAACTGCAAAAATAGCCGATTTTTTTCGGAAACAGTTTTTCTGCAATAACTTTTGACCCAAGCCTTGTACGAGCTTACTTTCACCGGCATCGTGTTCCTCTCGTCAACACGCATCGAACAAACTATAACTTGACCTTGAAAGGTCAACTTGAAAATTTGACCTCAGGTCAAGGTCATGACCTGACCGGATAGGGTCATGTTGCATATCAGTCGATCCGTATCGTCGAGCTGAACATAAATAAGGCGTTTTCATCGCTCTAGCATGCCTCTATCAAAAAGTTATTTGCGAAAAACGGTTAGATACCATTCGTGACCTAAGATGACCTCAGGGCACAAACAAGGGTCACGGACACTATTTTCATGTTCAGTGTGTCTAAACCACTTGTAATTCGGTGTTTGGGAGTGTTTATAATGTCTTCCGTCCAAAAGAGGCGCATTTCAATTTTCTCCCATTGACTTATAATGGGGAGGTCGCAAAATTGACCTGACGTTAGGTCATCGATATCAAAATTCTGAGATATACATTTTGTACATGCTATTGCTCTTAGCAATCGCTGAAAGTTTCAAAGCGATCGGTCACTCGGTGTAGCTATGACAGACATTGAAACTTTTTATGAGGTGAGGTCACTTCAAGTGACCTGGTGACCTGACCTTGAATGACCTTGGTCTGAAATTTTCACAACATGTGTAGAATTGATGTATGATAAGGTGTACCAAAAACCGTTTTTGAGATATTCGCGAAAAACCACAAGGGGGGGTGTGTTCAAACACCCCCCCCCCCTCCCCAGCAGGGCGCGGGTTAAAACATAGTTTCAACTGTGGTGCATGGTGGGATCCACTCAGATCATAGATCCATGTTCTCAATTTATCGTCAGATCATATGAGATCATAGATCCAAGATGTATTTTTCACGCCGGATCCGGTGGGATCATAGACCCCAACCTGTAATTTGCTTCGAGATCCACTGAGATCATAGATCCATCACTCGGATCCATGCACATGTCTGCCCACTGGGCCACTACTAAAATTCATGCGTTTTTGGAGCTGTTTTGCCAGGCGTTCTTGCCAGTTTTCGGGGCGCTTCGCGCCGCCAATTCATACAAGTAAGAAAAGAGATACTGTGTCTAATAACGCCTTCACGCGGAAAGGACATGTGTATGCGTTACAAGTATTGCATACCGCATATAGGCCCAAAAAAGTAGGTATGGCACCCGAAGGTTGTTTCTTCATTAGGCAAACAGTATTCTTTAGAATTGTTTTTCTATTGAAAAACAAATAACCAACTTCTGGGTTTTTGGCCAGCCAATCCGTCTCCCTCACGTTAAAAATCCGTGGCGACGCCCCTGTCATCATCCCCCCCCCCCCCCAGCTGGGCGCGAGTTAACGCGACCCTAGGGCCTAGGTCGCATGTACATACAGTCTGTCTTAAAAGTACAGCGCAAAGTGACGGTGGATCCACCAAGCCTGACGGAGAAAGGGCCTGCTTTAATTTGAAAGTCACCGACCAATTGACCTAGGAAATGGACGAGGATGTTAATTGCTTCGATGACCCAAATTTAGTAGGCCCTTCTTCAGTCAGGCTCGATGGATCCACCGTCACTTTGCGCGGTACTTTTAAGACAGACTGTACGTAATATAAATCCGAAACATACAAATTGTAAGTGTCTACCTACACAACAAAGTTAAAGCAGTTCAAGCCAATCACGAAGAACGCGTTTTTTTGTGGCATATTGCGAGTTGTGACCCTCAGCCATCAAAGTTTCCACAACACCGCGTTACTTATTGTTGCAGGTGCGAGCAGCGCTGAGGCACCGCAACACCCGCAGTGAATATTATCAGCTTCTGCTTGAGCTCAGACAGTCTGACCCTCAGCAATTTAGGAAATACATGCGCATGTCACCTGAGCTGTTCGACGAGACTTTGACATCCATCCGACATCTCCTGACCAAAGACAACAGACGACGGACACCCATTTCCCCAGAAGAGCGCCTCGCCGTAACACTCAGGTTCTTGGCGACTGGAGACCAGATACCGTCCATCGCCCGCTCATTCCGGATGGGAACCAGCACCTGCAGGGACTGCATTTACCAGACCCTGGACGCCATCTGGACCACGCTTGGTCCCATCCACATGTCCCATCCTACTGAGGACATGTGGAAAGACAGCGAAGAGGAGTTCCGCCTACGGTGGAATTTCCCAAACTGCATAGCTGCGGTAGACGGAAAGCACATTAACCTGATGTGTCCAAGGAACTCCGGCTCCACATACTTCAACTACAAGGGGCGGTTTTCGACTATCCTTTTGGCCGCCGTGGATGCCTTTTACTGTTTCCGGTGGATCTCGATCGGGAGTGCGGGCCGGGAGTCGGACGCCAGGGTGTTCATGACCTCAGATCTAGGGAAGGGACTCGAGGCAAACACTTTGGGCATACCGGGACCGAAAGCTCTGCCAGGAACAGAGGTCGTCGTACCACATGTCATGGTGGGCGATGAGGCCTTTCCCCTCAAGACCTACATGATGCGTCCGTTCCCAGGTGCACAAGTATCCGACCAACAACAGGTCATCTTTAACTACAGACTGTCACGTGCCCGTCGCATCGTAGAAAATGCGTTTGGCATTCTTGCTCAACGATTCAGGTGCTTTCTGAAACCACTGCACATGGAGCCAGCTAACGCCATCCGCGTGGTGCGAGCAGCCTGTGTGCTACACAATCTGCTTCGCCGTGACACCATGAGTGTAGGCGCAGAGCGCGTCATACCTGACGAGCCTGAGCCACTTCCTACCCTGTCAGCCTTTCAGCCTCTACACCATCGCGTGGGTTCCAACAACCACTCTCAGGCAGCTGTGCACTGGCGCAATGTGTTTGCCAGCTACTTCCTTCACGAAGGGGCGGTGCCGTGGCAGAATAGCTACGCTGGTGTCAGAGAGTGAGTCAGTGACGCAGCCGTGCTTAGAGGGTTGGAACGCCCTGCCGTCCTTCCTCGCGCTGCGCCGATCCTCCGCCGTGGAGGCTGTGATGTCCGTGCGCCGTGTCGACTGTGTTCCTGTTGGGGCTGGGCTGTGATCGTGTCGCACCAAACTGCCGCGTCCGGACCTGTTGTGCACCAGCTGAAGGGCAATATACTCGACGTCATGGTGTTAAGAAAATCATCGCCTAACATTTCTACTAACATACCGTTACAAATTATTATTATGTTCCCGGTAGCCGTCGGCCGTAGAGTCGAGATAAACATTAACGCACTTATATTGCGCAGCGAAGCAAACACAGGCGGAAACAAACTAGCCTGGAAACATGTAAAACTCGAAAAAGTGAACCGAGGTCACCAAAGGTCAATGACCTGACCTGACCTCCAGGTGACCTTGACATCCACTCTAATGCATGGGAGCAACATCGAATCACATGTCTGAACGTTTGAAACCACGAGAAGCTTGCAAACGCGCGGCAAATGTGAGCCGACATACGCCGAATCGCGATTCCGGTCAAACATGGGTTCGAGAAATAGGTCACAGGTCAAAGGTCACTTGGGTCAGGGTCATGAAATTTTCAGAGTAGGTGTAAAATTGATCAACTAGAGGGTACTGAAGGTTTCGTTGCGATCGGCCGCTTTCTGCGCGAGTTATTCGCGAAAAACCATGCGGAGGTCCATCCGACCCTCTACACATGCAAGGGTTAAGGTGATAAAGATGCAAAGATTATAAAGATGCTTTATAATCGTTGCAAGAGCATAGCAGAACTCTGATCAATACACTGGTCTGCACGGCACCGGACAAAACAAAACTCAAACAGCACAGCCAATCCCTGATTAATGCCCTGGTCTGCACGGTACCAGACAAAAAAAAAAAAAAAACTCCAACACAGCCAAGCTCTCATCAAGCAACTGGTCCTACTCCTGTCCTTCTGAAGGTGGGTAAGCGAGCGCTGTTAGCTCTGCCAACGCCTTCACCTTCCAGCGCGCACAGGCAGCCTCATCCATTTTGTCGAGGAGCTGAGAAGCGCTGCGCAAAAACGGTTCGTGCTTGTCGTTCTGCAGCTGCCGCACCTCAGCAACGGCATCGGCCACCTCCTGCTCAAGCCTGTCGGCGGCGGTAATCCGCCTCTTCTTCAGCGGCTGTCGTGCCTTCCGGCGCGGCGCGTCAGAAGGGGCGCCTACCTGGGTGACGTTGTCTGGGTCGTCCGCTGTGGGCGGCAGACCGTCGCCAGTTGAGTCGTTGGTCTGGAGCTCCGATTCGAAAATGCTATCGAAGGAGTTCCCGGCCGTCGCCGCGGACTCGTCTGGCGTCAGCGGTGTAGTGCCGGGCTGCTGCAGGCTGGTGCACGTACTGCAACAGAGAACAGATGCGTCAACTAAAGAAGGATAACCTACCAGCTTTCTCAGACGATAAGTGTCCCTGCAGATGAATCGCTGATTTATCGATATAACAGTCGTGAACACTCCGACCAGCTATACCGTGCAGGAATCGTAGTGCTATCATAGGTAAAAACATCATATCCGTAACCGCTGGGGGAGCAGGGGGAGGCTGGCATCACGCTTGTGTAGAATTTTAAGAAATGGCAATAATGGATCATAGCGCTCGTTTCATATCGGTGTACAAGTACACTTGACACGCTGAACTGAAAAAACTGCACCCCTGACCCTTCTTATGTTCCTGAGGCCATCTCAGGTAATGAAATGTTCCGAGCAGTTATGTGCAAATAACTTGATAGACATGCTAGAGCGATAATTACGAGCGAGCGAGCGCAGCGAGCGAAGCGAAGTCTTTTCAATATAACGGAAAAATCTCAGTATGAGCGGCCCGGCCCGGCCTGTAACGCTTTTGAGAGGCTTATATCTCAGCAACCGCTGGACCGATTGGCCTGCGGTCCTTTTTGGTGGGTAGCCCATGCATCCCTTCTACCCCGTAATAGACTACTTTTGATGAGGTGCCCCCGAGGTCAATGAAATTGGAGTTCCTTCGACAAATTTGATAGGGCTTTCGAACGCCGTTTGATTTTTGCGGATCCGTCCAGTAGTTTCAGAGATACGAGGGGGGGGGGCAAAAATAGCCCCCCCCCCCCCACCACCACCACGTCGCGTTATAAACAGACCCCACCAGGGCGCAGGTTAATCTGACCAAAAAATAGCCAGTGCTTATGTTATGATTTTTGACGTTCTTTCAAACACTGTTCACCGCGTGTCGCTACGTGGCTTAGGAGCCGAGTTTGGTAGGGGGGGGGGGGGTAATCGATACACCCCCTTCCCGGCCCAGCGCGGGTTAACGATAAAAATTAATGCAGTGGATATACAAATTGAGGGAACAAAGCCAAACAGATATACTTACGTTTTAGCCTCCAGCACTGGATTGAGGAAGCTCAGGTACCTCATGTACCCCAGTTGGAGCGTAGTCAGCGGTGGAAGCGCAGCGCTGCCGCTGGGTGCCGCTCGGCTGTGGCGCAGCGAGCGATAATAATCGCGGATGTTGCGCCATCGCCTCTTTAACTCTTGCTCTGAAACAACAAGTTAATGCCAAATGAGATTGCCACTTTAAACTGTTGTCAGAGAGGTCAAGGGCGGTAACCAATACCTACAATACAATAAGGCAAATAATCAATCGACTTCAGAAGCGTGTCGACATAAGCATTTTTGAAATGTGATTGTGACACTCATCGTAATAAATAATATTTCTCACATTTTAGCGGGTTATTCAACCCGCGCACTGATGGATGTCTCAGCCAACTTCGGCCATAATTACTAGGTGTGTGTGTGGGGGGGGGGGCAGGGATATCTGGCCTCACACCGAGTAATCTCGGAGACTAAGAACTATAGATATCCAGCTTGCCCTGGTGACCTTATCTTATGTTACCCCCTTCTCCGCCCTCTCTCCCCTCCCCCCCCCAAGAGAAAAAAATACGCATGTGGTACATACCATCCTTGTGCAGCTCTTCTGCTATTTCAGCCCACAGGTGTTGCTTTTGGATGGGCTTTAGACGATAACCTTTGTCTCGTATGTCCCATAAAGCGATCCGCCGCTGCACCTGCTCTGCGAGCGCTATGTCCTCAGGACTGGAAACACAAGCGTACTTTAGTTATAGGTACAACAGTGAACAACCATCAGCCAAAAATTCTGCTAAAGGGAAAGAGCATGGAAAGGAGGAAGCACCAAATACCTAATTTTGAAAAAAAAACATGAAAAGGCACACATAGGCATAGGCATAACAAAGTTCATTCATTACAAAACCAGTCATCCATGCCTTGCTAGGCAAGATCCTTTTTCATAACGTAAATAAACAAGGTAGTGTTTCAGCTAGCGCTGAAAGTCAGTATACTGAAGTTTTTATTTATAACCTTTTCAGTTCACCTAGCTCGGTAGTTGCTAGGGTATTTCACCACCCGCCGTTTCCTGGGGGGGGGGGGGGGCATTAAAAGCCCCCAGCACCAAAAAGAAGCACAACTTGCAATGCACTAAACAGACCTTGGACTTAGGATCTGGCATTTGGAATTTGATGTTCATAGCAAAAGAGGCTGATGCCTGACCTGCATTTGGTAGCAAAGTAGCGAGCTGACATAATAATCAATGACATAGTAAAACATACAAGATATGCTCAGCCTGCATATTTTCTACACTGAGGTTCTTTAGGATGTCTGTGAAACGCCAAATTTTATGTCTGGGGAAGGTGTAAACTTTTTTATACAGCACACAAAACCACAAAACATGGGTATCTACAGCCATGTAAACATAGGTACATTGAATAAATGCAATTCTGATTCGGTACAATCAATCCACATAATAAGCAATCAACGTCTATTCTTTCAGTAGGTGCTAGTAAATCAGGATAGCAAAACATGATTTGATTAGACTTGATAATCACTGACACTTGATTGTGATACTCACTTCATTTCGTCGCCCGCCCTTGTCCTCGGATCCGCTTCAAGTAGTCCACCACAGTAAAAAAAGATATATTTCTGTTACGATAAAATATGAAATGTAATAACAATAAACTTATAACAATGTCACATAGGTTAGTAAATGTCTACAACTCCACAACAACCTTGACAACTGCCGCATATACATAGGTCTTTGTTTACATTCCAAGATGGCGGACGTGCTGCCCTCTGCAAAATCGCATCGCCCGCACGGAAAAGTTGACTGAACTTCAACTCTCTCGCATCCCGAAAAGATGTCGCTGCGGGCGATGCGAGCGAGAGGTGCGGGCGATGCTTGCGGGTGATGCGGGCGATGCGAGCGAGGCGTCAGGACGACGCGGGAAGACTGTCAGGGAGATACGATTTCCTGATGCGGGTAGTGCGAGAGATGCGTGCGATCGATGCGAGAGGAAACTAATGTATTTGAATAGGCTCTCGCATGCGATTTCCTGAACGCGGAAAGAGTCTGTTTCAGCCTTAAGACTCCGCTCGCTTCGCTCGCTCCGTAATTAACCAATAACCGGAACGCTTATGGCAAATCACAACACCTTTTTTAACCTTTGTATTTGTTTGCTATCTTTTTATATCACAAAGACAATTAAAATTCGGTTATCAATGTGTCAGATTGATAGGTAACACTATAAAAACTGGACATTCAGAGCTTGGTCTGAACTTTCGGATATACGACAGAACATCTCCCAATTTAATTTCATGATAAACGGTGACCTAGAAAAAATACCAAACTATTTGGAATTTCATCTTTTATCATTCTTTCGATTCCACAAGCTTCATCACTAGATGAGCACGATTCAACTACAGGAACGATATTGCATCAATATGGAATAACTGCAAATGGGCAAAACCTCATAGTGGACTGACCGGCTAATGGTTTCTTTTAAGATGCATTTCTAGGCATGCATTTTCAGTTACTCAAATGTCACTTTTAAATTCATTACTTTCGATCGAATTAAGTTCATTCTTCGCAGATTATTTAAAGATCATTATACCTATAGCCAGTTTAGGCTCAGACATATCCTGATCTTTGTTTGGAGGGAGACAACAGACACAGCCTCCTGTTATTTTCTTTAGTTCGCAACAAAATGCGCTCAGTTATCCGAGCGTAAGAAGGCGTAGCCTTGTCCGACGCTAACGGTCTGTGTCCAAGCCTCAGTCCGGCTCATGCATTGTCAAAGAGCGAGGGGCATCTCATCTCATCCCAATTATTGAGGAATTGCCCGAATAAGACAGCTCGTTAGTTATCATAGAAGAACATAAATAGACAGCTAAGTGGGTTTGAATGACGGATTCTGGATGCGTGCATGTAAACTTGTTGCTCGTTATCTTGGAAACTATTATGCCTTCCATTCGCTCACACATTTCACTCTCATGACGTGTTCCCCATCCGCAGGATTTATACAAAGGTAGAATGCGGTTTACAATATAGAGTGCTTTAAACGAGGTGATGGCGAGAGAGTATGATCGCACACTGCAATCCCATGGTTACTCATTCGTAAAAATACGGCACGCATTAGCACACTTTCATCTTCCGTAACTTCATCGAAAGGAAACTAAGGTTCCTGTCACCCCACAAACAATGGGTATTACTAGTCATAAACTTAATGCACAATGTACGTGTATAAAGGGAATACGCACAGTCGTACAGTTACACGTCTCGTATTGTTAGCAATTAAAACCGAAAGAACGGAGTTAAAACTGAAATATCCACCTCGTAGGTATGTGTTGGTACTTGCTATGTGTATAACTATACGTTTAACTCTCAATAAATAGCAAATCCAAATGTGTGCGCTTATTCTAACCATTCGTCTGGCCCTCATTCGGGTCTATAATGCACCATATCTGACCGTTCGGTTTTGTTGTTATTGACCGTTTGGGTCTGTTTGGGACCGTTTGGGACCGTTTGGGTCTTCGGCACCATGTCTGACCATTCGTGTGTGCTGTGTTGTGTACCATGTCTGACCATTCGGGCGTGCTGTGTACCACGTGCGACCGTTCGGGTGTGCTGTGTAGTGTGTAAGTGTGTACCATGTCTGACCGTTCGGGTGTGCTGTGTACCATGTCTGACCATTCGGGTGTGCTGTGTACCATGCCTGACCGTTCGGGTGTGCTGTGTACCATGTCTGACCGTTCGGGTGTGCTGTGTACCATGTCTGACCGTTCGGGTGTGCTGTGTACCATTTCTGACCATTCGCTCGCCGGCAGGGCTGCTGGCAGCCGTTCGGGTCAGCGGGGCGTCACATCTAGAGACTACTGTACTACTGCGCGACCTCGACTTCCTGGACAAGCTGACCAACCCGTGCCAGATCACCAACACGGGAAGGCCGCTGCCGACCAGTCGCCGCCAGGAGGGGCGAGACTCAGAGCTGCAGATCGAGCTGCGTCTCGCCAGCAGCCTCGCCCGCTTCGTGCGAGAAGCATCGGTCAGTGTTAGGTCAGGTCACTGTCGATTACAGCGTCAGTCACAGTCGGTCACTGTCGGTCAGTGGTAGGTCACTGTCGATTACAGCGCCAGTCACTGTCGGTCTCACTGTTAGGTCACTGTTGGTCAGTGTCAGGTCACAGTCGGTCACACTGTTAGGTTACTGTTGGTCAGTGTCAGGTCACAGTCGGTCAGTGTCAGGTCACAGTCGGTCAGTGTCAGGTCACAGTCGGTCAGTGTCAGGTCAGGTCATAGTCGGCCACAGTGTTAGTGCCAGTCATTTCAATTACAGTCATTACGCTCACCGTAATAAAACATGTTTGCAAGAATTTTACCAGAACAGCTACGCCAAAGTTTTTTTTTTCCCACAGATAACTCGAGTGCCTTATGCCTAAGCGACAGAATCGGCGATTTTTCTTTTCTTACATAGTTTTGCGTCTCCGTTTACAGGGAGTCCCGGAGTGTACTGGTATGAGCCTACAGAGCCAGCCCAGTATATCCAGCCTCTCGGGCCGGACGGTAAGTTAACGAGTCAACGATTCACACTCGTACAAAATTACCAACTTCCTCATAATTGACATTAGATTTAACACCTATCCAATGAGCTCATTTTCTCAGCAATACATGAAATTGAGACGTGATTTTAAACGTTGGATACGCCTTCAGCTGTAACATGACATCACTAGCCAGTGCGACATGGCAACTACGGGCGTCATTGTTTTTCATTCTCTGCGCTGCTGGGTGATGTCTGCGGTTGAGTTTGTTTGTAAAGTGTGAATTTGCTGAGACCCACTGAGACCCCGTCAGCGGACTACCTAATTCTGTAACAACAACATCCTCTCCAACCGGTGACCAGTAATTATATCCCCAACTTCTGTGACCCCCCCCCCCCCCCAAACGGTTACCAGCGACCAAAGACCACGCGTCCCGACCGCCGTAAACACGCCCCATTTCCATCCCCCGCCGCCCATAGACCATGATAATTTATTTTCTTTATACCTCTGTGCCCTCCCACTAACTGCCACCCTTTGTGTCCGATACAGCGTCACGAGGCAATGCCCGAGATGTACCGCGTGTTTCTCATAGAAACAGCACATCTCTACCTAATGGCTCAGGAAATACGCGAGTCGCACCAAACGTGCGGGAACGAGAGCCGCGGACTCGTCGACGAACTATTCTCGTGAGTATTGGAAGATGACGAGCTGCCCGGTTTAAGCAGAGAAGGCGTTTAAACAGCAAGGACTTGATAGGAATTATGTATGTGACCCGTTTTAGTGAAAGGTGTTGACAAAACTGCTGCACTCCGCCGGCACCTTCTCATGCTGCGCATTTTCACTCCTTGTACTCCTTATCGTTTTCAGGCTGGCGGGCCATCTTCAGAACATTCTCTGCGTTATCTCCGAGAGCGTGCACCGCCCGGATCTGGAGACCGTTCTCAACTCGGTGCCTGACCTGGGGCTCAGCAAATACCGAAACTGTCACCGGCGACTCATGAGGTGAGTCGAGAGCAATGGCGGCGGATTCGATTTTAGCGTGGGGGGGGGGGGGCAAGATCCCAGTCGAGATGATGTCATAGGCGGATCCAGAAAGGCGTTTTCGACGCTGTAGGGGACATACCCCCCCCCCCCAAAGTGTCCAAAATCCAAAAACTCCTCGGATTTCGATTCCTTACGGACCTACTGCTGAACAGTACAAAGCAAAAAAAAAAATCCTGATAAATGGGTTATCATTAGGAAACATAAGGTACGTTTTGTCTATTTCGGGCGATGCAGGGGCCAGGGGGAGGGGGAGTAAATATTTGCTTTAAACGTCCGCTCCCTGGATCCGCCAGTGGACGATGTAGCGCTTTTCGCATTGCTGTATTAGAAAAAAGCTCCAATGGGAAACATTGTGCCATAACCCGATCGCATACCTATCAGATGTTGAAGAACGGTGCCAACCCTTTTGAAGTAGGCGAACGTTATTCTTCAATGAGGTAACTCGTTACCATTTCCTCTGTTCATTTTACGTTCGATTTCCGTTTAACCTTCCTTTAAAAAGTATTTCTGAGACAGATATCAACTGAAACTAGCTCACAGCGGGAGGAGACCGCTCAAACATTCAGAGACAGTCGGTCGCATCTAAACCTATTGGGACAGCGATCCGCCAGAAACCCTCCCCAATGGCAGTAGTTCGCCAACTAAGCTCACCGAGACGGGCTGTCTCGATGGGTTTATACAGTAAGCCCACAGCAAGACTTAATAAGGCCCAAACGCTCGTCAAGCTGGGAACGGAGGGCTGAGGTGAGGGAGCGCGGCGGCGGGCTGGGGTGAAGGAATGGTGGCCTGGAACGAGAATCCAGAAGCTCTGGGTGGGCGTTTCTTTGTTAGGGCTTTAGGGTGCGCTGATTGCGGTAAGGTTCAAATTATCACACCAAATTTTGCCACGACATCTACCGGTTCAGGCACTCGAGAATCAGCAGCCAGTGATATCTGCAAAGACGAAGCATTTCCAACCCAGCTTCAGCCTGGTGTCAGGGCGCTCAGGTGGCTTTAATTACAGTTGCACATACCAAAAGACCTCAGTGCAGCCAGTCTGTGGCCGAAACTATTCGGAACAGACTTCAACGAAAAGTGAGACAAGGTTAGTGCTATCGTTAAGTACCATTATAGACTTGGGCCCCGTAAGCTTGACCCACTGGAAGGTGGTAGTTATCGGACGCTGCGGGGCATACTCATTTTTCCAAAATGCCTTAGATTTTGCTTTCGTATAGCCAGCCTTTAGACAGAGGGGGGCCCACTAATGATCAGTGCCCTAACCCTCAAAAGTTTCCAACATTAATTTTTACTTTTTTAATAGTGAAATTAAAATAAAGCGGATACTGAACTGTGAACATCCAGTTTTTACACTGGCCCCACACAAGCCTCCGAATGCCCAAAGCAGATCTCTGATGACCATGGCCTTTGGGTTCATACCATACCGTGCATTGGTCAATGTGGTCAATGTGTACGACCTCGGCGTTTACCATTTTATGCGCTGGAAACTGTTGCGCT